ATCTTAAAGGTCTTTTCCAACCTAGACAATTCTATGATTCTGTGATTCTATTCCTTTGCCAGACTAAAGCACATTAAGAACTGCTCTGGAAATCTAGAGACTAATAAAGCAGCTTTAACAGGCTGGAGCATCTGGCCTTCTACATATTTTCCTTTAGCACTTCCACCAACTGTTGTTTGCTCATTATCTACTGGAGTCTGTTTATATAGATTTTGCCCAATCTGCTCTTTCTGGTAATGTTCATATTGTTGTATATTTATGTGGAGAAATTAAAAAAAAAAAAAAGACAAAGAATATGAACTGAAATATTTATGTGGTCTAGAATGACTTAAACTGAAATGATCCTCATCCATACTAGAAGCTCAAAGCACAGCAATACAAAAACTGAAACTGCATCAAAAAGAAAGTAAGACTTGCTGGCCTTGTTATGCTAGTCAGGCTGTTTGGAAAGTCATGCATAAAACAACTAGTACTAACCTCCTATGCAAATACTGCAATTTGAAATGAATTCATTTGCACAGCATATGTGTAGCTAGTTAGACACCAGATAATAATTTTTATAATATTTCTTAGATGATTCTCAGATGTTACCATCATACTTATCCCCACGTTCATTGTACAATGTATCCCCAAACACCACAAGCGACTGCCGAGATGTGCAGCGGGCTCGGGATCAGATGCTGTGGGCTGGGTCCCACAAACAGTAGCTGGTTGCAAGAACGGTTCTGGCAGCAACGCTGCACTGGGTGCCCTGGAGGAGAGCAACTGCTGTGCTGCCCTGAGAATGTTTTTGTAATTGAGTCCACCTGACCAGCAGAACCTTCACTAAGACCTAGACTGCCTAGACTTTAATTGAGAAAAAAAAAAGGGGGAGGGGGGGGGGGGGGGAGGGAGAGAGGAAAAGTCTTTTCCTGTTTCTTCCCTGAGGCTGAACTGTTTATCACTCCATCCTTGTTCGATAGAAGTGAATTTTATAATAAAATTTTCCCTAATCGGGCTCTGTCAGTGAGGTGTCTTATCGTGGGGAGGAAAATGACACCGATCCTATCGAAAAACAGAGACGATGTCACAGTGTCCCCAATCACAGCTACTCAGCTTCCATATCTACCTTCTCCACAAACACCAAGCACTGCTTTTTCATAAGAACATCAAAACCTAGCGAAGTCATTAAAATTGCACCCGCGTAGAGTTGCAGGGATCAGCCGCACTAGCGCAAAATGGGATGTGAAGAGAGGGGGGGGGGGGGGGGGGGGAGGGAAGAAAAACCTCTACAAGCAAAGAGACCAAACTTTTGGCGCTTACCTCTGAATGTAAGATCATTCTCTGTACTCCAGCAGTGCAGTAGTTGTAGGTGGACTGACTCCTCAGACATGGGCTCTTGCAAGGCCAGATCCAAACGAAGCAGCCACTAGAAACAAGCTTATTCGCAAGTGTAAAGAGAAAAAGAGCTAGATTTCCTATGTTTAGCACCACTTGGGTCTGAAAATCTCAGCAGCACTCCAAAAACCACATTTATACTTCCATCTTACTGACCCCCTAGCTGAGGCATGCAGCAGTTGGGGTGTCACCAAAAAAGCCACAGTGTGCATGTGAGTTGCAGGGCAGTAAAGGAGGGAGGCACAAGATGCCCGGGATGGATCAATGCCTGTCGCTTGTAGCTGTCAAGAAAGCGTAACTGAGTTTCCCTGATGGGAGAAGCTGCCCTCTCACAGAGTCAAACACATGGAGTATTTCCAGTGAAGGTTTGGTGTTTCCCCATGTCCTTGGGAAGCAAAATTTCCTGTCATTTCCCATTGAATTATCTTCTGTAACGTCAGCCCAAATGCATATCTAGGGTGTTCCTGATTTTTATTAGGAAGCCATAAAGCTGGGGTTTGTTTTTTAATCAAAAATCCTCCACCTCTCCACCATCTCACTTCCATGCCACAATCTAATCAATACCTACCTCCACCTGAGCATCCCACCATCTCTCACAAATGATGCTGACAAGCCCTGGAACAATTAATTACTAGACATGGCTATTTTCTACTTAGGAAGCAAAAATTAACAATCTTGGCATTCTATTTTTAAATAATAAATAGAAAATATTTATTTTACAGCATTTTCAAGATCATTTTGACAAAAAGGCAGTTTTCATCAAGCATTTGACAGACCAAAAGAAAGAACTTTTACAGGAAGCTTCATAGCTCATACAACTACATACACAAGGTGAGTTCTTGCTCTTTAGATATATTTACGTATGTGTATGTTTCCAGTTTTAACAATTACAAACTAAAAGCTAATATACTGAATTTCAAGAAAACTCCTACTCATGATATAATTACATTGCAGTAATAAAATCAGTGCTTAATATGTTTAAAACAGACAGATATGAAAACAGTATAGTACCTTGCCACATTGCCGCCTCCCCAACTATAGGAATGTGTTATGTTTCTTTTTCTTACCTATCTCATTTCTTCAAAGACTGGCTTCCTAGTACTAGTTCTCTGCTACTGACAATGTTAAGTTTTTGGAAACAGCACAACAAACCTTATATTGAGATTATAAGAAGATAGAATTCATTGCCAGTGTGGTGATCAGCAAAGAAAACATGGCATTTTTTTCTCATTGCTTTAATGAGTAATCAGCATTACAAAAAAAAGAAACCACAACAAAAATTATCCCCCTAAAAGCCCCAAGCAGACAAAAATCAACCAACTGACCCTCAGGTGCCTTTAGTTCATTATAGAGACATCAATCTACTGACAAAGACATAACCGTGTCTTTGGGCAAAGTCATTTCATGCTTTACACATTGGGACGATGGTAGCAATTGGCCACTAGTCATATGGAAAGGAGCAAACATCATGAAAAGAGGATGAGGAAAAAAAAGGCTCTGTCTGGTTTTGAGCACCAGCCAAACCTTCCAACACCACTACTGTATAATTAGATAAAAACAATGAGATTTGGATCTTCAGAGAAGAATTGGGCAGCAGAGCTGCTTAAAATTCCAGTGAAAAGAAAGGAAAAGTGTAGAAATATGCTGAATTCAGAAAAACCCTGACAGAATATTCACAAGAAGCAAGGTTAAAATCAGGGTTTGCAACTAGAGTAGCATGAACAGTTTCCTTAAAAATATCTTTGGAAATAAAGTGTAGAACTGTGGGACAGGTTCTCAGCTAAATTCAACAGCACAATCGAAGTTCATAGCAGCTAAAATCCTGTCCTGTATAACACGCACATTTATAAATAGGGTAATAATAAGTATAATTAAGTTCAAGCCACAGCAATTAGACCAGGACTTTGAACATGCCGGCCTTGGATTAGGTCCATCTCCAGGAAACACATGAAGGCTAGAGGAGGAGGAATGAATGACAGACCTACAGCTGCCTAGGAGTGACCTTTAAGTTACAAGATTGTGTGTTAAATAGAAGAAGTGAAAGCATACAGAAAGAATACACAACTAAACATCATAAAGAGATTAAAAGAACTCTTTATAACAACCCCTGGGAATTTATGCACACATTAAGCACTGATGAAATTTCCTGTCTGGACATGATTTTATTTTAAATTATCTGAAGCAACAGAATAGTTTAATTACTTTTCCTGTCTCACCTTTATACTGGCATGTGCAAGATTTCTAAACCAGGCTTTTTTCTTTTTGTGTTTTCTTTTTTTTGTTAACCACGCTTGCTGCAAATGTAAAATAACAAGTTCTCAATGCACTGGTTATTAATACCATATGCCTACTTCATAAAATATCTGCAAAATAAAGAACCCTGTTATAAGGGTAACAACTGTCTCAGCTTGTATATGAAAGAAAATGTGTTAGCACAGCATACAAACCTCCAAAGAGCTATTGAATATTTCTAACAATGCGATATAAAACATGATTTAAACATAAAAATCCTCATAGTATATACGACAATCTTCCAGTGGTAGTTACTGGACACTACGCTTCACACATACCGTACACACGCATACAGAAACACAAACGTACGCTCACCCTCTTGCTTTGAGGATGACTCTGTAACCCCCAGTATGGAATTGCCTTTCATTCAGAGTAATAGTTGTTGCTCTAAGTATACAGCTATTTTCCAATGTATTTGATTCCAAAGAAACACAAAGGAATGATGTAATCACATGGCAAATATGTTGTATTATGAAAAGTTAGTCAATAAATATTGTTCTGCTACGGGAAATGTTGTGTAACAGTTTAGCCACATGGTTTGCAATCGTATATAAAAGGGCAGTTTTTCCAAGTCCTTATCATGTTACAAGTACTACAGCAAGGGCTTTCTTCAGAAATCTCTTGAGTCTTAACTTGATCATATTTCTTGCTCTGTTCACAATCAGTGTTAAAAAAAGCCCAGATCCCCCAAAAAGCAGCCTAGTATGAAGAACAAATTGTTCAGACAAAAGTCAGTAAGAGCCACGTGCTTCCACATCAGCTCAGCTCCACTCCCCCAAACACATCACGCAGTTACACCACCTATAGAAACCAGGAAAAAAAATATTTATGCATATATATCTCATATACAAGTAGCTTCATTCCTCCTCACCGCATTCCACCCTTCCAGCTCCTGGGTGTGTTGCTTCCGTAGCAGACAGACAGCAGTCATGAGATGTGCTAATGACTTCTCTAGGTCACACTTCCCAGAGTCCTTTTCAAGCATTGCCAAGAAAGGGTGTGACTTAAGTGTATCTTTTTTTTTTCCTGTGTGTTTATTCATTTTTTTTTGCTATAGAAGTTGTCTCTTGGGTTTGTGCTTTGTTACGGTTTCCTACCATTTTCTCAAAGTACAATATTATTAACAGCTAGAGAATTTTGAGCCCTCAGAATGGATTTTTTTTTTCTTTTTCTTTCTTTTTATTTATTTAAGTGCAGGATGAAGATTTTGCCCTGTCATACGTGACTTTGCTCTCTGTTCTCTCTCACCCCTCAGCCCTGGGAGACTTGTCTCCCCAGGACCTCCCAGTGGGCAGCTGCCAAAGTCTTTCTCGTCTTGTCTCTTGCAGCGTCTAGAGGGTGGACGAGCTTTGCTTATAATCCCTCAGGATGACAGAGGCATAGGTCACATCTGGGGGGGTGCAGAGCACCGACTCCGAGACGGGGGAGCTGGGCACGGAGCTGCCCGAAGCCACTGAATCCCGGAAAGGGGACGGGGGTGTCAGCGCCGGGGAGTCTTCCAGAGTCAGTTTGCTGGTTGCAGGCTCCTCATCCTCCTCCTCTGGGTTCTTCTCATAGACGTATCCCTGAATGAGCTTCAGCTTCTCGCTCTCCGCTTCCTCAGCTGGGGGGCACAGGGGGTCCCCGCTGAAGTCGGCCACCGGGAGAGGCGGCAGGGGTGGCTGCTGGGGTGGGGGAGGCTGGTAGGGGGGCCGCACGCCGTTCCCCGAGCCGGGCGCGGGGAGGACGGCGTTGAAGTCGGGAATGCCGGTGGCAAACTTGTTGACCACTCCTTGCAGCTGGTCCATGAGAGACCGCGGCTGCAGGGGCAGGGTCTTGGGGGGCTGCTCGGGCAAGAAGAGGTGGGTCTCCTCCGCCGTGGCCTGCAGCGGGGGGGTCGTCGCCACCCGCCTGTGCACCACCATGGAGGGGCTGCCAGGCTGGTTGAGGCGGACGGGCTCTCTATCTTCTTCCTCCACCACATTGTACAGAGTCTTACTGCTGCTGTCGGTAAAGGTCAGGCTCTTGCTTTGGCCATGGTAGCTTTTAGTGAGGGGTTTGATCACCGCTGTCTGATTGCACCCTGTCTCCTGGCTCTTCACATGCACTGAGAGTCTGTGCCACGTGTGTTCCCCCTTGGGAGCTTGTCTTCCACCTGGTTCAGACCATGACACAGACTTTCCATTAGAACTATGAATAAAATAAAGATGGGTTTATTTGCATTTACATTACGCAGACACGGGCAGTATAAAAAAAACAAGCCTACAAAAATACTGATTGCTTTGCCTCATTAATAAGCCTCCCCCCTCCAGTTTTTTGTGTCCTCCCGGAAATACTACAGAAGGAAACAACAGTGCCTTTTAACAGCAGCAATTACTGCAATGTTCATCCAAAAGCAATTACTCCCTGCTGGTTACCCACCCTGCAGCCACCCTGGAAAGCCTAGCCTGCAGGAAGGCCTGTGGGGGGGCTGGTGGTGTTTTGAGGACTCCAGCTATGTCATTTTGTATCTAGGTTTGCTCCCCCCACCTTGCAAGGGGGAAGAAAAAAAAGGGGGGAGAAAGTGACGAGAAGAGCTTTAATTAAGCCTGATTTATAGCTTATAGGAAATATTTCCAAACTGTTGGAAGAAAAACAACCCACAGCCTTAGCCTTTAGCACGCTGGGTAGAGGGAGGAATTGTTACGAACCCCTCCTTTTCTTTTCATTCCCTGGCCCCTCTTTGCACTTAGGAACAGGTTAGCTATTACAGAAATGAAGGACCCACAGGGCCTCCATCAGGCAGGAGGCAAACACACTTCTTCCCAAGAGAATATTATTTACAAACCGGGATAAAATTCTGGGATTGAAAGCAGTTGGCTTGTGTGGGTGGAGGAACAAGCAGCGACACGATCATGGTGAGCTGGACCCTCCAGCACGGGGGCTGGATCCCACCACAACGCTGGGGTGTTTGGCTGAGTGAGAACCCGAGGGTCAGGTCTGTCCCTGAGGAACCGTAGTGGGGGTTTTCGTGTTTCCCTGTACCTTTGGAGGGAGCGGCGCTCAAAGGCAGAGCGGTATCTCATGAGCAGCCGGTAGGACAGGGAGCTGAGCAGTGCTTAAGAGAACCAAGCAATTGTTTAATTGCAGGTCAGGCAGTAGAGATCATTTACAAATTATAACATACATCACCTGGGTGGAAACCAGAGACTGGAGAGAAATTCTGAGATGATTTATGCGAAGCAGCCTTATCTCAGGGTTTCATCCCTCAGGGGGGCAGAAGTAAACAAAGGATTACATTTCAGACCCTGTGATTGCGGTACAGGTGGGAGGCAATCTGGGTGGGAGGCTGGCACAGCAGCATTGCCTCCTGCTACGGCACACACCAGGGGAGATCGTTTCCCTTACATACAGCCTGCAATATTGTTCTGAGTATTTGGCTTTTCCTTCCTCAGACTCCCTCAGACTTCTTTTTTTCAGGGAGTAAATAACTGCCAGTTGAATTTTGCAAATAAAATATTGACTGACTTTGTGATAGCTGGAAGAAACTGGTACAACACAGATAATGTTGTAAATCTGGCAAAACGGAAAAGAAATGTACATGATGATGTGACACTTTTCTGCTGAGCAGTAAATATTCCTGAAGAAAAAAAGAATTTGAGATGGATCCAAGCTGGGAAGTTGAACTCCAGACTTGAAACACTGGACCTGTGACTCACCACCTCTGTGGGAACTGGCTCACAAGAACGGGCCAATCTAAAAAATTCATAACTCCCCGAAGCATGTAGTTGGTAGGACCTGGAGCTGTTTGGATTTAGAGCTTTAACCTAGAGGGGGGGAAAAAAAAAGAAGCCAAGATCCCAGCTGAAGAATGAAAGCTCTATATTGTAGTGATCACTGAAAAGATAAGAACGAAGGTTTAGAAGCATTCCTGTTTTGATCAAAATGAGCTGTGGTATGACTTTTTTTTTTTTAAATGCTATAGAGATAAGCAAATGAATGTAACTGTTGGGTGTGAAAGATTTTTAAAGTAGTATTTTAACATACCAAGATCCACAAACTCTTCACACAGAAACACATTTTGTCTCCTTTGACTTCAAAACAAGTCTCTTCTTGTAGAGAAGAAAATAAGTCAAGACAACTCATATTGTATTTTGCTGATGCCATAGTTTACAAATACTGCAAAGGGCTTTTCTGAAAAAACAACATTATGATTATCTGCCATCTCTTATGCTAAGTCCACTTCTGCATCATTTACTTCTTCATATCTAGCTCTGGTGCGTCATCTCACTTTTGAATCCCTCCTCACACCATCTGTTTAGTCTCTATCTCATTTTGTTCCCAAGATTTTGTATTTTACATCAAAAGCAAGCACTGCTATTTTAGGAACTCACTACCTCTGTCTTCAGATCTTCCTCCTATTCAGTTCATTTTCCTCCCCCTCACTCTCAAATTCTGTTCTTCTGACTTCTTTCTTCTGTAGCACTCTCCATAATCTACTTAATCGAGCGCAAGTCAACGGCCGTACTTTGAAACAAACTGCACTGGGACTGCAATACCCGATCATGAACAAACCGCTTAATTGGGATTTGTCTGTTACCAACTTGCTCTGCTGGCAAAGCTGGTGCCGCTGAGGCACCTTCCCTCTGCTTGCCAGGCCTCACTGCTCATGACCCCGATGGCCTCGTGACAAATAGCTTTAGAACCGCAGTGGCTCTCCTTGGGGTCAATCTGATGATTTCCACTAGGAAATCTCTCTTTCCTGTTACTGCTTTCCTCAGTCTCTCGTTCCAGCTCTTTCCTTGTTGTGTCCACGCACCATTAGCCTGTTAATAGTCATGTTTGAGGCGGAGTCACAAGGCCATCGTAGAAATAACTGGGCTCTGTCTTACTGGATGGCTGGTAGGGAGTCACGCCGAGATTGACAGGTTCAGGCAGAATTAAGAATTAACATCGAAGAATAACACTTGTCCTGGCACAAAGATCAGCCATCTTGAATGGCATAAATCAACACTTAGACAAAAAGCGAAGATGGGGCTGGAAAAGCTCAGGCCTGAACTAGGTGTTGGTGAGATAGGAGTCAACTCACTGCGCAAAGCAATGATGACAATCCTGACTGTAGGTGCGATGCATGGTCACCATTTGCTAAGTGGTTGTCGCCTTCTTTTTTGAAGGAAGAATCCATGGGAAAAGGTGAAGATCAAAATAGTCTGCCTGGTATAATGGGAGGAGGGATGATTTTTCCACATGAAGGCAGGAGAGGGCAGCAAGCCAGATCACAGTTGGGGTATTGAAAACGTGGTGTTCGATTGCAGAGTGACGAAGTGGGATTAACTGGTGTTTTCTTGCTTTTATCAGTAGGACCATTATCCATTTCATGTCCATCACGTATTTATTTGCCTTTCCTAACTAACTTCCTCTTTCCTTTATACAATCTCCCATAGGATTTAGACTTCACACTTAACTGCCTGGAAGTGAACTACTTGGAGTCTCAAGGGATCTTAAGGTTGTATATACCTGTGTATACCCAGTGTAACACTCCAAGTACTATTTCTTCAAGTCCTTGCATCTAGCATAACTGTTCAGACAGGTACCTATCAACACATAAGATGGGCTTGCTTTTGCTTTATAGGCAAGGGCATACATTGAATTCAGCTGCTGTTTCTCAATTTTCACCACAGTTTTGTCTAGGTTTTTCCTATCTGGGGGGAATTGACATAAGTCTATTTCTTGTGTGAATTTTTATTAGTTCCATGAGCAGATCTGTCACTATTTTTGGTAGTTCAAAGTGTTGTTTTTAATACATGCATCGATCTTTACAATGTACTCTCTGCATGAGTCTGGGGCAGTAATTTTCAGATACGTTCAGCTGATGATTCTAGACACTAAAAAAAAATGGAAAACAACTTCAGACCTTAATAGTTACTTGCAGAAAGTCTTTAAAAGAACTGATGTACACAAATCTGAGACCATAGTCCAAAATACCCCTGCCCAGCCATCTCTTACCTGAGGACATGCCTACTTCTTGTTAGATGGCTCACTGTTCACTGTTAATTATCTCCAGCTGCCCAAAATCCTCCCCCTGCTTATGACTAGGTCTGCCCCAGGCTCAAGTCCGGCCCCAGGTTCAAATCCAGTCACAGGCCAAGAACAGAATCCTGCTCCTGCCAGTGCCTGGGGATCTGACCTTGTTGGCTTCCTTGGAGCAATGCTGAGTCTGAGCACCTCACGAAAGGTGATTCCTCCCTACATGGCAGCATCCTGAAGATGTCTTACACTAGGCATTCGACAGCAAAGATTTCTTTGCATCTTAGAGGCTGGATGTTCCTGAGGTAGATGATTGCCCCATTCCTGAGAGCCAGTGGTTTAAGGTAATCTAGTCTGTGCAACTCCCTGATCTTCTCACCAGCAAAGCTATAGCCTGAGACCCAGAGCATAGAGAATCAGAGAAACTTTCAGTCGTGTGTATCTGAACCTTTGCCTTTTTTGCCTTGAGCATTTTATGCATAACAATCCCTAACTGATGCCACATGAAATGGTTAAACAGAGTGATATTCCTAGGGTGCTCTGATGAGGTTAACTTTCGGAACAGACATATCGGGAAATGCTCCTTATCTGATCTAGGGCTTGTCACCACCAGAGTGACACAGCTGGAGATACAGTCAAGCAAAGGGCTTGATAAAGAGCCCTTCCAGTTAAAAAGGAAGGGACATTCCTGGATCTGTCAGAGTTCATCCCCTATTTCATCCCTTCAGGATGCCAGAGTTTTGGTCTGTTATCTTCTCCAAGTGGCCATGAGCTGAGGGAGCATCTTAAGCTTGCTGAGATGAGGGATACAATCATTTGGACCAGGCCTGGTGGTTTTAGACAAGATTCAGTGCACATTTGTGATATAAGGCTGGGTTTTTTTGAAGTAGCAATGACAACTGACCAGTGGCAGAGGTTATAGGAGAAGTGATGTGTGTTCCTTTTCTTTCGTTGATAGACAGATGCTTTGGCCAAACCTACCGCCTTGTAGTCACTATATTAACTGAAATGCCACAGCCAGTAGGAACAATTGCGATAACCTCGTGGTCCCTTCTATGAAGCTAAAATTTTAGGAATGAAAAGTAAATGAAACCTGAGAAGGGGCTATCAACTCTGTCAACAAAAATTTGGTCCAAATCAAACCCTGAACTATCTTATCAGCGTCAGGTACTGCCCAGCCAACA